CCACCCAGTCTGCCATTACTACCGCAGCCACACCCACCCATTGGGCCATGCCCACCCGGCACTCAACGATGCATAAGTGGGTTTTGGGTTGCAGTTTGGGCACTCAGTCTCTAAAAGGTTCGCCATCACTGGTATAGGTGGTACCTTGCTCAATAGTAGTAACTGTGAGAGGGATCTCGGAGTCCTAGTGGACAACCACTTAAATATGAGCCAACAGTGTGCTGCAGCTGCCAAAAAAGCCAACACAGTGCTAGGCTGCATTAACAGAGGGATAGAATCAAGATCACCTGAAATGTTAATACCACCTTATAATGCCTTGGTAAGGCCACACTTGGAATACTGCATCCAGTTTTGGTCACCACGATGTAAAAAAGATGTTGAGACTCTAAAACAGCGGTTCTCAATCTATGGGTCGTGACCCCATTTGGGGTCGATCGACCATTTCACGGGGGTCGCCAAGCAAGGCTGTCCGCCATTTTTTCCCCCTTTTCCGGCGGGTGCCTTACCTCCCTTGAGCTGGGCCAGCTGGCGGTCGGCCTGCTCCGTCTCTGCCGCTTGCCAGCTACGCCTCAGCCGGCGCAGGGGGCGGAACCATGCATGCGTGGCGCTCCCGGGCAGGGAAAGTCCTTGACTTACGACCGGTTGGGTAGTCCTCGACTTACGACCGGTTTAGTCCTCGACTTACGACCGGTTTAGTCCTCGACTTACGGCCGGTTGGGGGTTGCGGCATTAAAAAGGTTGAGAACCACTGCTCTAAAAAGAGTACAGAGAAGAGCAACAAAGATGATTAGGGGACTGGGGGCTAAAGCTTATAGGGAACGGCTGCTGGAATTGGGTATGTCTAGTTTAATGAAGAGAAGGACGAGGGGGGGCATGATAGCAGTGTTCCAATATCTCAGGGGCTGCCACAAAGAAGAGGGAGTCAAGCTATTCTCCAAAGCGCCTGAAGGCAGGACAAGAAGCAACAGATGGAAACTAATCAAGGAGAGAAGCAACCTAGAACTAAGGAGAAACTTCCTGACAGTTAGAACAATTAACCAGTGGAACAACCTGCTTCCAGAAGTTGTGAATGTTCCAACACTGGAAGTTTTTAAGAAGAGACTGGACAGCCATTTGTCTGAAATGGTATAGGGTTTCCTGCCTGAGCAGGGGGTTGGACTAGAGGATCTCCAAGGTACCTTCCATCATCATCATCATTATTATACTAGACCTACCTAGAAGGACTGGCATCACTTTAATAGCAATATAGTCTTGGAGACAAAATGTTAGAAAATGGGGATAGCACATAACAAGTTGTACTTGAAGGAAAAATCTCAAATGCCAAGTGTGTACAATAAGTGTAAACTCAATGTTTAAGGGAAGTCAGTTATAGAGAGACATTTTATGTCTTCACTGTTCTAATTGTAGATCACAAAAATAAACATTTTAACTGCAAACTTTGTCATAAATTAGGGGAAATACAACATATACCAACTGTAGAGAAATGTTGTCATTTCTGTTCAGGGATTCGTTTTCTGTTAACAGAAATCACAGAAGAGGCAGCCTCTGCAAGAGCAGGATGTCAGTAGCAACAAGCTTTACTAGTTGCATGGAATCTTTTGAGCCTCTCTGAGTAGAATCCTAGGCAGGAAGGGCTTATTTTGAAGCCATGCCTCTCTGATGGCTTACCTAGGAGCATCTAGCTGATGTGTGTGTGTGTTTGTGTGCGTTTTATTTGCAGTGGCTATGTAAACAAGCAGAGGCTCACAAGATAATAAATGCAGATATTGCTGAGATCGAGGATTTAAAAGAAGAGGAAAAGAACCCAGAGTGGTTGAAAGACAAGGGAAAGTGAGTTTGGAATGGACTTCCTAAAGGTGGTCTCCAAAACCTGCTATGGCTTAGAGTTGGGGGAGAAGAGGGCCAGTTTGTTGGGTTTCAATATTTGTGTTCATTAGTATGCAGCCTTCTCTCTCCTGCATTCTTCTTCCTTAAACTGAGCCAGAATAGCAGCTCCTGAGTGCTTCCTTCTGTAACAGCATTTTCAAGGCAGTCGTAGTGTAACTGGGCTTTTCATTAATTATAATGAAATTGGTGTGTCATATATGCATACCAAGATAAGATGGTTAGGTTATTGTTTGTTTGGTTTTAAGACTTCTGTTTCAGTTTCTTGTAAACCTTACAGAGTCAGCAGTGGGTGTAGTATGCTGTCAATAAGTAAAAAAATACATTTGCTGAGTCACAAAGCCTGTATATATGTTCAGCTCTTACTAAATAAGTGGGCAGTTGACATAATCAGTTTATGGTCCTTTAGTAAAGATGCCAAAGTTTTAAGCCCTGTTGGAAATGCAGGAGCTATTCATTTGTTCACATGGATCTTTTTTTTTAGCAAAATGTTTGAAACTGGTAACTATCTGGCTGCCGTCAATGCTTACAACTTGGCAATTCGTATTAATAATAAGATACCAATCTTATATTTGAATCGAGCTGCTTGCCACCTGAGGCTGAGAAATCTACATAAAGCAATTGAGGATTCCTCTCAGGTATTTGACCTTTATAGCCCTTTGTAGCATGGGATCACGCTATCTGGGGATCCCCTTTCTTTGGTCACATCAGCCCACCCCATCAGAGCTGGCAGGGAAGGCATGGTTCCCACCCGAGATAAAATCCACTCAAATTTAGAGGGTGCCTTTTGTATCAAGGGATCCACTTACGAAGCTTCCACTCAAGGTTGCTTTTAAAGAGGATATAGTTGTGCTCTTGAACAGATAGAAAGGATCTAAATCAGTGGTGGCGAATCTATGGCACGCGTGCCAGAGGCGGCACTCAGAGCCCTCTCTGTGGGCATGCACGCCACCAGCAGCCCCCCGGAGGAGAGTCACCCCGGGCACAGCCTGCACAGAGCAGCGCAGCCAAGGATGTGGCAGCCGGGCAGTGGGGACAAGACTCCGCCCTCGCGCCCCATCACGTGCAGATGATGCTGCAGGGTGGAGACAGAGGGTGTGGCCGACATGACACTGCAGGGCCTCCAGGGCGATCTGCTGTGGTGGGCCATGGCGGCAGTGGGTGGCCCTGCATGGATGGAGAAGCGGGGGCGGGGCAGGGGCAAGGCGGTTTTGGGCAGTTGGTCTCTAAACGGTTCTCCATCACTGACCTAAATGATGCACTTACAATCAAAGACGGGTTAGCTCACACTCCATCTGTACATTTTATTTTGCCAGGCCTTGGATTTGCTCAGCCCTCCTGTTTCCAACAATGCCCAGGCAAGATTGAAAGCTCACCTGAGGCGTGGCACAGCATTCTGTGAATTGGAATTGTATACTGAAGGTAAGGTACTGAAGGTACCTTTGAAAGGCAAAATGCTTCTACTTTTGTGTTCCATTATATTGCTGTCATTTTCTCCTTACAAAAAGGATTATGTAGGTTTAAACGCAGTGCTTCTTGAAACCAGTAGAAATGAGCTACTGTACTAAAAATATTATTTACCTAAAATATTTGCGTTTACGGGACATCGAGGGGGGGAATCTTATTTTTTAGGCTCAGAACATCTGTTCCTGTCAAACTCCAAATTCTTTCCTTTTCCAAATCTGTTGCCTGCTAAGCTTCATTAAGAACTTGTTCAGCAGCTTTCTTGCATCAGTCTTTTATAATTTCTACTATCCTGTGTCAAAAGAAACGTGGCCATTCCTTTCTTCCCCTATCTCTTGTTAGGCTCTTCTTGTCAGTTGTATTGTTCTAGTTTAGTCTGGGAGAACAATGTACAAAAGTTCCATAGGGCGTATGCCAAAAGATATTAATCACAGTAGCTATTTTTCAAAAACCAAATATAGCTTGGCACATTCACATTCTTCATTGTTATTTGTGAAATGTGATTTGGGATTCTAGCTTATGATTTTGCAATCGTTTATAAAATGCTAATTGTGGAGATGGGGTTGGTGTTTTGTATTTAGATTAAATTACTTGCATTTTACTAAACTTCACATATCCTACTGATTTCCTATATTAACAGGCCGGGAAGCCCTGGTACTCGGTGTCTGAGGAGTTGTGTTTTGGACCTTGATCCTCTAGGCTTACCTGGGTGTAAAGCTATTTTGCGGGAGGCTGTTAATGCTGTTACATAAATATACCATATCTGTAGGACATGGCATGTGGCTTCAGAGACAAATTATGGGTGCTAATTATTATTCTAGGCCTTCAAGATTATCTCGCTGCTCTCAAGATTGAGCCTACGAATAAAAATATAGAACAGGATGTGGAGAAGATTCGGCGCATAATTCAAGGCAATGAGTAGAAAAGTTCTCCTGGCAAGTTTAGAAGGGTTTTTTTGTGCTGGATGTCCTCCTCCTCCTCCTCCTAGGCTGGAGCGTCGCTCGCAGAGTAGAAGGGCTGGAAGACGCTCCGTAAGGTGGAGGGGGAGATGCTCCTGTGCCCAATAAAGTCGCCGCTGCTTCCTTCATCTCTCCAGCTTCTCCCTGGCGGGGCGCGCGGGAGGTGGGTGGCCGGCTACACCGGCGAGCGGTCGGCGCCCGTGTTGATCCCGTTGTGCTGCGGCGGCCCGGCAGCGGCCAGGCGGGCGGTGAAGGCACTCTCCCGCGGGCAGAAGCGGCAGGGCGCCGTGGCCGAGATGGGCCGCAGGGCGCCGTACTCGCTCGCGGTGGTCTTGTAAAGGAGCGGTGCCGCCGCGCTCAAGCGCGTGCCCGTCAGCAGCGCCCGCGCGTCCGCCAGGCACGTGAAGACTGGGTTGGCCCCGGGGGTGCGCCGCGGCCTGTCTCCCCCGGCGGCCATCTAACCCGGCGGCGGCTTTTGCGGCGAGCTGCCCTCCGCGTCGCCAGGGCAACGGCCGGGCCCCGCCCTTTGTTGATGCGCGAGTCCGCCCGCCCTCGGACGCGCTCCCCCCTGGGGCGTGTAGTCCCGCAGCGGCCAGCCTGCCGCAGCGCCGGGCAGAGGCGGACTACGCTTCCCGGCGGACGCCTCGCGGGAGGCGCAGGCGCAGCGGCGTCGCCTTTCCGGTCCCTGGTTGTTGTTCTGGCGAAGTGGGGGAGGCGGCCGGTCGCTGCGCCGCTCCAGCAGGTAGGTCGGCCGCGGCTTCCTAGCCGGCATGCCCCGCCAAGCGCGGGTTGCGCCCTCTTCGCACTGGGAGGGCCGGCGGGGCGGAGGACCGCTGCTGACCACCGAGGGCCGCCCCAGGCCCGAAGCTGAGCCGGCTTGGCGCGGGGGGAGGGGAGGCGGCGGCGCCGGAGGCGGGCCTGATCCGACCCCTGCGTCCCCCCCCGGTCCGCGTTCCCTCCCGCAGCGGCGGTTTCGGCCCGGCTTAGGCGGCCGAAGGGGACGAGGCGGAGATCTCGGTCGGAAGGCCGCCCAGGTTCTATTCCTGGCAGCGAAAGAAGCCCGGGAGCTGAAGAGCGTCTCGTCTCTTTTCTTTCCAGCTCCTTGAAAATGTCAGAAATTTCCAGCGACAGCGATTCGTCCTGCGGCTGGACGGTCATCAACCACGAGGTACCGGGCAGACTTCGGGGCCGCCTTTCCGTGCTTGGCTTCGGGGGCGTCTCGGAGGAGAGCGCGCCGGGCCCTCTGGCGAGGCGCCCCTCGGGCCAAGCAGGGCAGGAGAGCTCCGTTCGGGCGCCCCGGAGCGGCGGTTGCAGCGGAACTTCACAGGGAGAGTCGGCGTGGGCGATGTGGGACAGTCGGTTCCTCTTGCTCGTGTGTGGCTGGCTTGACCTCTTCAAACCTCCCATGGCTTAAAGGCAGCCGGATTTTTCCCACCTTGTCTCTCTCCGCCCCACCCGCTTCCATGAGGTCTGTTGAAGCGGAAGATGAGCGCCAAGAGGCTGCCAGTCGGACGGGGGGGGGGGGCTCGCGCTAAAGAAGGGCCCTTTGCCTTTCGGGCCCCCGATCTTTCTGGAAAGGTGCTTGAGCACAGCTGACCTGGAAGCAACCCCATCACGCAAGAGGCAAATCATGACCGCTGTTGGCCTTCTTGAGCGTTCCCATTAAAGTCCACTTAAAATCCCTGGTATCTTTGGCCCGCTTCTCTCCGGGTTTTTGGAAGAAGCCCCTCACCAGAGAAGCTCTTCCGTGGGACCTAGGAGCTGCTTGCGTCAGAGCTTCTGAAGGGCAGAACCCCTGGGAGGCCCCTCGAACAGAACAGCACAATCCGCTTGAGTCATTTAGGGCATTGGAGGAGTCTGCCACACAAAGCAAGGTTTGGACTTGGTTTCAGGAACCAAAGCAAGCCAGACCTTACGAGGATGGGTGGTGGGAAGCTACTTGCATTTCCTACCGGTAGTAAAAGATAAAAGAGAGGAAGAACAGGTCCTCTGAGTCTTGGCACCAGATATGTTCTCTGGTTTTCAGATAGAGCAGGAAAGCCATCTGGAGTTAATTTCCGAGATTCCTGGTGGTGAAAAGTTCACCTGTAGCCCAGGGTTTCAAGATGCTTGAAGGTGGCATGACTGTGTTGGCTTAAAGCAGTCCACCTCCCCCAATTTCAAAAAGTGAGGATGAGCCCCCCCACCCCTGGTATAAGTCAGGCCCAGGCCTTTACTCAGAAAGACAGAATAACCACTGAAAACAAGCAGTGGCTGACGAAGGCCAATGAGAGCCGCAGCGGGCATTCCCTGCACTCTCTATCCTTGTCTGCATGCCACTTCCAGACCCTCGCCCTCCTGTGGCCCGAGAAGGCTCTGCTGCTACGTCAAGCAAAGTTTGGGAGATTTGGTAGGTGGCATGAGAGTGTTTTGTTTCCCAGAGGCTTCCCATCTTCCCACATTTATTTGGGGAGCAAACAACTCAGCTGGTAAGAATGCACCTGCTTGTGGAGGACTGCTAGTTGCCCATCCCTGCTCTTAGGTTCCAGGGTGGTTGTAGAATATCAGGGGACTCTTTCTGGAGCTTCCAATTCAATCTCCAGTGAGCGTGTTTGTGTTTTAGGGCAACGTTGAAGTAGCACCACCAGACTCTGATAGCGCAAGTGGCCACGAGGAACTGGCCTCCGAGGAATTTCTGTCTCCAACACAAGCAGAAGACCAGCAGCAGCAGGCTGCCGGTCTGCAAGGTGAGGCTGGATACAGGCTGGGCAGCATTCTCATTTGGGCCAAAGGGCTTCTGGGAATTGCACGAGAGGATTGCTGAGCCAACTGAGAGATGTCTGGCTGCATGGATTGAGAAGAGACCTGAGGTTTGGATGGCCAGGGATGAAATGGGAAGCTTTGTTTTGACTTGGGTATTTGAGGATAAGCTCTGTAATGATCTTCCCTGTGTGGGGCATAAACGGGCTGGTAGTTTCTGGTGGGATGGCAATGGGAAGCATTAGGAACACTAAAGCAGGCCAGTTTTCCAGAGTTCCAGTCACTAGTTTGTGACTGGAACTATATCAGCCTTAGAGATAAAGTCTCAGTAGTAGTAGAATCGTTCCCAAGCTGTTGTGGTTCTCATGGCCAGATTCTTGTGTAATGGGTACAGTGGACATTTATGCCATATAACTGATGCTGTCTGGTTCAGGTTTTGCAGGGGAAAGCTGTGATATACTTAGATTGGCCTGAGCAGCATGAGTGTGTTCAAGAGCAGAGATGTGCATGAAAAAGGGTTCTGGGAGAGTTCTGTGTGCAACCTTGTGTGTCTTCATCCTTTCCTCCTGCAGCTGACTTTGGCCAGGGTGATGGGGCACCAATGAACACTACAAGCCGGCCCCGCATGGAGCCCAGCAAGCTGGTTCCTGGGGTAAGTCATGATTCAATAAAGGGATCTTACAACGGTAGCTGTCAGCAGAAAGGTGAAATATCGCAGGTGCCTCTTTGGCAGAGCTTGCGCCAACGGAGGAGACCTAGTTGATCTTTCTGTCCCTGCTGTGTTGCCTGTTCTGATGACAGCAGGCTCTGACCTTGCTAGAGGAGTGTCCCTGTGAATGTGCCCTAAATTAAGGCGTGTTGGGTATCGATGTTTCACCTTATTCTCTGCTGGGATTTCCCTGCAAGAGGCTGGTCAACATTTCTGGAGGCTTCCAGCTAGGAGAAAGCTGCAGTCCTGGGGCCATAGGAGGTAAAGGTAGTCAGGAAGTTGTCACCTATGGAAATGGTGTGCAGGAAAGCTGTGCTGCCCTTCTTCAGAACACGTCTTACCCAGTCCTGATATGGGTGTTGTCTCTTCAGCTTGCTGGGCCTCAGAAGCCCCATGCTCAGAGCTTTCTCTCCCAACTGATAAGACTGTTGTACATCAGTGAGCAAGCTGTAGAAGCCAGGCCATCTGTGTGTAAATTCTGAGTTAGCCTGATAAGGCACTTGCAAAAAGTTATAAATTTAATTTTTCAAGTTAGTAATAAAATGCTGCTCATTTAACATTATATCCAAGGATGAGAAAGAAAAATTGTTGGATGAAACTTCCTGCGTGGGAGCAGTAAGTGATGATTCAGACATTGTGACTCTGGAGGTGCCGAAGGTGGAAGAAGTTGGAAGCCAGGAAGAAGCTGCCTCGGGAGAGGAGGAAGGTCAGACCTCAGAAAATTTCAACATGGGTTCCTCTTCTAGCAGCCAGTATACCTTTTGCCAGCCAGAAACAGGTATGTACAGTTCTTTAGTCTCTTGAAAGCAGGCAGCATTCTGTGGAAACGTAGAATGTCCTGAAGGCAATAATCCTCAAACATTTTCCCCAACGTTGGATATGCCCTTGAATTGTTTTGACTAAGAATTGGAAACTAGTTTTCGCCATAACTCTTTTGAGCATTCAAAATAGCTCATGTTTTTGGCTCCTGTTGTTAGGACTCTTTTTAAAAGAGTCCTATATATATATATCTCCCTCCTGTATCATTATATTGTTGAGTGTAGGCTTTATCTGGCTCTCTGTTTAATCACTTGAACACCCTGAAAGATATTATGCCACAAATTAGAAACTCCCCTCTCCAATTAAGTAGGGCTAGGTCTCCTTCAGGATTTCTTAGCTGCATTAATCTGGTTGTGGGCTATCGAGAGGCCTTGTCCGGAAGAGTCAGTCCCAGGCTCCTTGCCGCCTCTGACAAAGAATGCTGCTCTGCAGAGGTAGAGGGGAATCTTTGTTATGGGACACTCACCCTTTTCATTTAAAATAAAGGTAATTGGGGATTTTTTTTAACCTCTATTGGGAAGCAAGATGGAGCATACAGGAGTATTTCTAAGCTCTTATTTAGAGCTGTTGTGTTGAGTTAATATTTAGCCTCAGATTAAGCTTGATTCTCTAAGTTTAGATTTGCTTTCTGGTCTATAACCTCTCAAATAGACGATCTCTTCTAATCACAGTCTATCTGAGAAGTGGGTGTCTTAAGTCAAGCCATCTCTGGCATTAGAATAACTTTTCCTTCTCTTCAACCTGTTCTGGGAGGAGATGCAGACTAACTGCCAGTCAATTAGGTTAATTGAAAACAGGGTGATGAGAATCATAGCCTGGCATCTCTGGGGTCTTACAAACAAGCAGCTGCTGTTTCTTTTATAGCCAGGCCTAAGTCAAGGCACATGAGCTGTGCCCCTTTGGTGGTGGTTGGAGTCTGAACAGGGAGGGCTCGAAGGAGGCAGGGTCCTTCCCATAGACCATAATGCTGGTGCTCTGGGATTGGCCCTTTGCTGCATTTTCTTGGTTGGAGGTTAAAAATCTTTTCCTTCTGTTTTGTATGCGAAAGCCGGTTGGTTGGAGCAGCTTTGGATGGTGGTCCTGTGGTGGTTGAGTGGATGGGGTAAGGAGCCGACATCCGGCCTCTCCCCTCCTTGGCTGGCATTTTGGCCGGAGCTGGGGCGTGCTTTCATGCTTTTGAAGCAGAGGTTGCATTTCCCCACCACTCCCTTATAAGGAAGAATTCGTGGGGGGAGGGGGTAGAAAAGAAGGCCCCTCCAGAAGAGAGAAGCCTTACCTTAAAGGCGAGCATGAGAACAGTCAAGGGTCTTGGGCAAATTAAAAGGCTAACATAAACCTCAATTCAGAAATCCCAGATCAGTATAAGAAAATGCATTCCCCCTTCCTGTTGCAAGACTGACAGAGACACTTGTACCATTTCACTGCCTTAAGTTTAGTCAGCTTCATGCTTTTGGTTTCTGACTTGCTGTTTACCGTGTCATTGTGCGTGTGTACGCGCACGTGTATAAGCATGCAATTTTCCAAGTGTGATGTGCTTAACAAAATCCTGTGCATAGTGTGAAGACTTACCTAGATAATGAGGTTTCTTGTGCTGGCCTGCTCTCCCTTGAAGATGAGGCCCAGCTTTCTTGGCTGGAGACAGAGACGCCCTTCCCAGCCCCTAACAAAAGGGAGCCCTTGGTGGCCTTTTGCCCAAGGCAGAGAACGGAACCAGGAGGCAGATTCAGGGGGCTTTCAGAGGAGGGTTTCCCCACACCTGACCACTTGTGCAAGAGGGAGAAGCTTCTCTAACCAGCTCTCTGACCAGATTAAGCCTTGGCGTAAGTTTTGGTCCTGTTGCTTTGGCTCCAATCAGAACAATTGGCCTTGCCATGCCCTCAGCTGGCAGTGGTCTCTGGAATTCATGGGACCCAAAGGCCAGTTGATTTCTGAACTATATTTACCCTGCATCTGGCGCAACAGCAGCTTGTTGAAAAAGAGCTGTATTCAAAGGGATCAAAGGCTTGCCCCTTCTGTTGAAGGCCAAGGTTTTATTTATAAAATAGCTCCAATGTGATATGACTGGTCAGTACAGGATCTGCTGAGGATTCAACCCCAGAAAGCCTGCATGGACACAACCCTCAAAGCAAAGCAGGCACAGAGAGTTTCAGATGTCTGCTTGATGGCTGGCCCCAGCAAGTATAGATTCCTCTGCGGAATGCTCTGGAGAACAAGGGAAGGCGCCGGTGGGCAGAAGAGTGGCATGGAGCATGGAGGGGAGGGGGGTGGAAGTGCCTGGCCTAGGCAGGCCCCCTTTCTGGCCTGTTGCTGCTGCTACTTGGGAATCCCAGAGTTGTTTTGTTCACTGCTTGCATTTGCTGCCCAGTTTTTCCACTGCAGCCAAGTGGAGAGGAATCCAGCAGTGATGAAACCAGTCATGGCTGCAGTCCCACTCTGAGGCGCCGGCGGGCAAAGAAGAGGCTTCTCTCCAGCTCAGAGTCTGAGGAAGGACTGCCACCTCATGACCTAGAAGTCAAGCAGGCCAAGCACCTGCTGAACAGCAGCCTGAACCGATGCATTATCCTTGCCTTGGTGATTGCGGTCAGTATGGGCTTTGGACATTTCTATGGTGAGTGCGGCAGAGTATTTTAAGGGGCAAAACGGGAGCCCTAAGCTTTGGAAATGCTGAGAAACTCTTTGTCAGCCTCACACAGCCCATCCTAGGCTGAAAAATGCAAAGCTGCTGCTTCCTGGGGGATTTGGGGCCAGTCACTGAGGCCAGAGCCTCACGGGGTGGGTTCTGTGGGGCAAAATAGGAGAGTCTAGGGCAGAGGTCCCCAACCCCCGGTCTGTGGACTGGCACCTGGCCGCAGCATGCCAGAAACTGGGCCGCGCAAACAAGCAAAGCCCCATCAGCGGGATGCCGGCAGTACATGAAACCATGCCCTCTCCGGTCTGTGGAAAAACCTCTCTCCACGGAACCGGTCCCTGGTGCCCAAAAGGTCGGGGACCTCTGGTCTAGGGCATACGCTATCCTGCAGGAAAGGTAGGTTATAAAGGAATAAATAAAATTCAAGATCAGAACTGCTGGGAAAGACGCTTTTTTTCCTAAGCGAGCAAAGGCCTGAAGAGGATAGTTTTAGGTAATGCTTAGCACGTGGAGATTCCAAGCTCGAGTCCTCCACGGCTGAGTCATGGGCTTGAGCCAGGGACTGCCTCTTGTGGGATAATCCCTTCTGGGAGGAAAATATGGGAGATCCATTGGGCAAAAGTAGGCAATTTCTGCAGTGACCAATCAGGCGATGACTTTTCAGAGGACTCATGCAAAATCTAACACTTCTAACCGCCTGCTCCATGCCCAGAAATAAAATAAGGATTAGATGTAGAACTCTCTTTATAGCTAGCTGCAGTGGAGGGAATCTACTTCCAGTCCCACCCGAGAGCTCGTGGGAAATTCCCTTCTGCAGAGGCAGACTTTACACAACAGGAGGCTGTGTTCCTCAGATATAGCATTTTGTGTGTTGCAGGAAAATCCTTGGGTGATATACTTGGGTACTCCAGGCCAAGTCACATAATTACCATAAACAAACCAGCTGAAAAACACAAATATCCTCCAGAATTTTCCCTTAAATGAGAACCCAAATTATGGGCAAAAATCTGGTTTTGTAATGAACTGACTCAGAATCAACTCAGAATGAAGCAGCAAAGCCATTCTTAGATCAATCAACTGTTTATTGGTTTCTGGTTGTCCCAGATTCTCAGGGAGAAAACATTACACTTACCATCAGAATAATGCTGATATCCATCTGCTTTTGTCTTTAGGGAAATTTGAAGGTAAGAGACATGATTGAAATGTGCTGCTGTAAACCATCTTTGCCAGATGTGCTTGTTTTTGTTTTTACTCTGTGCAAGATAACCTTTAACTGACCTTTTTCCTGGGACAATGTTGCCTGGCCTAAGGTCAGTTCTGCACCTTCTACCTTTCCTCAGTGCTGACTTTCCCAAGTGTCTTTGGCCATGTCTTTTCTATTTGTTGAGGCATTGCTGCCTTAACTACAAGTACCGGCTGAACATGGCTATGAGACAGGCTTCAGTCACTGACATTTCCCATTCCTCTCCAGGTTGATGCAGCTCAGTGCAACCACTGTTCCAAAGAGGGCTGGTGTAGGCTTGCCCCCCTCCTCACCCAGTTCACTCTTTTCAAAATAGGTGTTAAGCAGGTGATGCTGGCTGTGAGATGGATATTCCCATCGCACCTGTGCACTCATAGTATACAATCTGTGGTTTTAACAGTATCAACCTTTCATTTTATTAAAGCTGAGCATTTCAATTCCAGATAATAGTTCACTTTATAAAATAAACAAAATAAGAAGTGTCTTTAATAAACTGCCTAACTTCCCATTTTTCTTATCAGATAAAAAAGAAAATTTTATGTTTCAAGGTACAGTTCAGATTAAAAAACAGCAGGAATTGGTGGAGAAGACTCACGAAGACAAACTGAATGATATGAAGGGGGATCTTTTGCAATGCCAACAAGAAGGAAGTAAAACACTGTGTGGGGTAAGGAGAATGTTCCCTGCAGATCAAAAATATCTCAGCCCTGAACATTTACCCCTCTCCCTTACAAAGTTTTGCAGCTTTGTCAGTTCAAGTAGGCAAAAACAAGCTGACACAATGCATGATATTTGTTGTCCTTCATTGAGCTGCAAAGCCACCAGTCACTAAGTCTGAGGCAAAAAGTGAAGCCAAAAACTTGCCCACATCAAAACAGAAAGTGCAGAGTTGAACTTCCTTGCACCTCATGCCCTTCCTCTGTAGAGGGAGGAATGCTTTCTATTCTAATTCTGCTGCTGCTAAATTGTCCTGTTAGCTAGGAGCACAATCTCTTTTTCCTTCTGTGCAACCTGTGTGCTTTTTTTCCCCAGTCTCTGAAGGAGGGTCTTGCAAAGTGCTGGCTTGAAACGCAGATGGAGAAGAAGTCCTTTGAATCTCAGAAACATCACCTTGCTTCAGAAAATCAGCATTTGAGGGAGTCTTTACAGAGGGAGGAAAAAGCCTTGGCATTGCTACAGGAAGAGCTGAGGAAGCTGAGGGAACAAGTAAGACACTTGGAAAGCAAAGGCCCTGGCCTGGATTTGCTGGTTGTGACTGAAAACCAAAAACTCAAAACGCATTTGGAAGAGGAAAAACACAAAATGCAGAGCTTTATGAAACAAAAGGAGACTCTACTGGCTGAAGCTCAGATGCTGAGAAAGGAGCTAGATAAAGAGCGTCAAGTGACAGCAGCACTTCGGGAAACGTTGGAAAAACTGAGTGCTGAGCAAGTGCCATTGGTGGCAGAGGCTGCTTCGCATGAGCGCCGAGAGATAGAGACCCTGCGAAGAATGTTGACTGAACTGGAAAAGAAGCTTAGCTTTGAACAGCAGCGGTCAGATTTGTGGGAGAAGCTGTACGTTGAAGTTAAAGATCATGCAGAGAAGCAAGAGAGCGCAGAAAAAGCCCAGAAACCAGCTGGGAAAGGAGGAAGCCAAAGTAAAGCCAAGCCAAAAGCAACCTTTTTCGGTTCTGTAAAAGAAACATTTGACGCAATGAAGAATTCTACCAAGGAATTTGTACGCCACCATAAAGAGAAAATCAAGCAGGCCAAAGAAGCTGTGAAAGAGAACCTGAGAAAGTTCTCAGATTCTGTCAAGTCTACCTTTAGACATTTTAAGGACACAACAAAAAATATCTTTGATGGAAGAGAGAAGGAAAGGTCTGGTGACAGAAGATATGAGACTAACAGAAAAGGGAGGAGGATGCATCAGAGGGACGGTTCCCGTGAAGGTCCTGCAAAGCCGGCCCAGCACCGGGCTCCAGGAAGCCAAAGGCATTTCGGCCATAGGAGACGTGCTGAGGACACCCAGCCCCTCTCTCCATTATCCACAGACACGACTTCCGGACAGTGTCCCAAGGGCCCTACTGGTAGCCCAAAACACCAGACCATCCTAAAAGGATGTTCTGGCATTTTTGACTGTGCCCATCAAGAATTTATTAGCCTCTTTAACAAAGTCCTGGATCCTATTCGGGCTGATGAATTTAATCAATTAATGCACAAATATTTGCAGCAAGAAGTAAAAAACTTTCATCATTGGCGAGAACTAGAAATTTTCGTCAGCAGCTTTTTCCATAATGGTGTCTTTATTCATGATCAGATGCTGTTCTCAGATTTTGTCAATGATGTAAAAAACTATCTTGAAGACATAGAAGAATACCAGAGAGTCAGTGACAGAGCATTCGAAGACTTGGACAAATATATATACCAGTACTACTTTCATTATAACCAGCTACCTCTGTGTGGATCCAGGTAAGTGCAAAATCTGGGGGGAGGAGAGGGCTGCACACTGGGAGTGAGAATGGGGATCCTAGCGATGCTAGGAAGGCTTCTCTCCAGCCAAGAGGTGAAAAGGCAATCCCTGCACAAGTTACAAGCAATATTGGCCTGTTGGCCAATTTCTTTGCCCTATCAAACAGTGGTGTCAAGCGAGTATGCTCCTTTGACAAGGAGTTGAATACCTGGACCTGAGGCTTCCACTTGCTTCCCCTCTTTCCGCACACCATCCCAGTAAGCTCCCCTCTTTCATGTTCTCCCACAGCCCTCAGCAGGAAAGACAAGTTCCAAAGCACCAGCAGCGCTCTAAGAGGGAAGGCCGATGGCAAAAGCAGGGCCGGAGCAATGGGAGGCACACAGCAAACCTGGAGATTGAAGTGGGGCGGCTCCCTTTTGACTCCAAGTACTGAACAGGTGAAGGAGCCCTGCAGGCTGGCAAAAAGTCTCCATGATTGGCCGGTGAGAGCTTTCACCAGGGCACAAAAATCCACTGGCTTCATCTCCATCCTTCATCCTGCCTTGGGAAGCATTAATTAATTTGGCTGCTTTCTACTATTACAATAAATAAGCAGGGTAAGCAGTAGCTTTAGACAAGTTGTAAACTAAGCTTTTTTTGCACTTGTTGGTACTTGGTTCTACTAAAAGATATGGTACAGATTTCATCTCATGTTCCAAAAGCATATTTTGATAGCCATTTAATTACTCTGATCATGATGGGATTTGTTACATGGTCTTTCTGATCATCTTGCTTTTAAATTTGCACATCTGTACATTGTAAAAAAAAATAATAAAAAGGTGGTTCCAAACTGTCTATGCATATAGTCTGAGCAGATCCGAAACCTTAGCAGAAGGGTCACGCAAGGCTGCCTTTGCTAAAACAAAAGTACTGGTACCTTCCACCTCTCCAGACCCATTCATCAGTATACTTCAGGTCAAGGGTTGCTGCTTTGTTGCTTCTCTTGCATCAGCCCCATCCCTTAAATCAGTTTGGTCAATCTTCAAAATAATTTTTTGAACACATAAATGTGGCTTCCAACACGTCCTTGAGGCAGATGGGTATGAAAGAATATGGCACCTTTTACATATCTGTTTGAAATCAGAAATGATGATATTTCCTGTAATTAAAATACAGTTAAAGATTACATAGATTGCACCTACTTTGAAAAATGTTCATTCAATAAACAATTTGCTTGGGAAGCTGCAACAAGATTAGTGTCAACGCTGCAAATACTGTATATTCTTGCTTTGACAATATGCAGAACTGCCTGGTATTTTTATAGTTAAATCAGGCAAAAGTGAAAGGGGAGGAGAATAAGGAAAGCCCGGGAGTAAATCACATCTTCCAAGTTAATTGGAAGATGTGAACCATGACCCCAAAATAGGGGCAGGAAAAATGCCTGGAATGTTGTGCAACGGAAAAGAATCTCAGATCTAAGCATGATGTCATGTGTCTGATTAACGAAACACTTAAAAGGACTTTCAGGCATTCTTTCTTTCTCCATGCTTAGATCTCAACTCCTTTTAAAACGACCTGGGGTCCCGAACTCCATCCACTGCCTCTAGGCTTGAGAGGAGCTGGTAAAGATTCAGGGAAGATCTCATCATGGAGAAAGAAAGAATGCCTGAAAGTCCTTTTAAGTGTTTCGTTAATCAGACACATGACAATTAGTAGATTGCCTCCTTTCCCCTAATCTTAGTTATTACCCATTATATGCATCAATGAAAAATGAAGGGCAAAAACTCATTTTGAAAGAAAATGGCACTCTCCCCTCCCCCCATCAATCGGAGCAAAGTCATATCCTGCAAAGCACCTGGAATGTGGTTGATGAACCGCTAAGTAAAAGAGCCAGTTCACTTTAACAGTATAACTGAGTTGGAAGGGACCTTGTAGGCCTTTTACCTCAACCTTCTGCTCCAGCAGGAGACCCTATACCATTATGGACAAATGGCTGTCCACTCCCTTCTTGAAAGCCTCCAGTGATGGAGCACCCACAACTTCTGGAGGCAACTTCCGTTCCACTGATTGTTCTGTCAGGAAATTTCTCCTTAGTTCTAGGCTGGATCTCTCTTTTATAAGTTCCTATCCGTTACTTCTTGCCCTGCCTTCAGGTGCTTTGGCAAATGAGGCAGCCCCTCAACTATTGGAAGTTCGCTATCAAATTACCCAGAGTCCTTATCATTGTTAGATTAGACATACTCAGTTCCTGCAGCCATTCGTCATGTTTTGTTCTCCAGTTTCTTTGTTGCTCTTCTCTGCACTCTTTCTAGTATCAACATCTTTTTTGTATTGTGACCAAAACTGAACACAGTACTCCAAGTGTGGTCTTACCAGTGAAGTATAAATCGGTACTAACACTTCATGTGATCTTGCTACTATCTCTCTGTTGATGCAGCCTAGGATTGCATTGGCTTTTTTGGCAACTGCAGCACACAGTTGGTTCATACTTGGTAGTAGTCACAGTTACTGCTGTTGAGCCAGCTACCACCTATTCTATATCTGTGCATTTAATTTTTCTTCCCAAAGTGTAAAATTTTACTTTTCTCACCCTTGAATTGCATTTTGTTCGATAGGTCACAGTGTTTAAATCTGTCAGGGTCCTTCTGGATCTTGAGCCTATCTTCTAAAGTGTTTTTATTTCCCCCAGCTTGGTATTGGCTGCAAATTTGGTGAATTCCCCCTTTATCTTCATATCTAAATCATTTATGAAGATGTTGAGGAATACGGGGCCTAAGACGGAATCTTGGGGCACCCCAACTGCATGCTTCCTTCACTGTAACTGTAGTTCCAGTGTGGTTGGTCAGCCAATTGCGAATCCATCTGGTGGTGATGCTATCTATCCCGTATTTTTCTATCCTACCAAGAAATAGACTGTGGTCTACTTTATCAAATGGCTTCCTGAAGTCCAAGTATACCGTATCCAGAGCATTTCGTTGGTCCACTGATTTAATCACTTTTTCAAAGGAGGCTATAAGGTTTGTCCGGCATGATCAGTTGGTTTCTAGTAATAGCTCTGTAGTAATTACAAATAATAATTAGTAATCATTATTACTAAATCATTATTAAGTAAATAATTAGTAATAACTTTAGTTTAGTTGCATTTATGATTAGGGGGGAAGAGGCTTCTGTGTATTATTTTGGTCTCCGCTATAGAAAAGCTAGGATATTGAAGATAGTTTTGTTTTACTGCAGACAAGTCGTTACAGCAATTTCTCTTCTGTGAGTCATTCAATACCCCTGCAGCTATACGACAAAAGACAGTGCTAAAGTGAGCTGGCAATGCTCATACCAACCTGGCTGAGAGTAGGGATGCCAGTAGTCTGGCTTATTCTAAAGGAGACTAACATTTACCATGTGCTATTATTAGGACATCCAACACAACTTGTGAAGGGAGACAGGGAGTGGTGGCACCTCCACCAGAATGCATCTCCTTATGCAGACTTTACATCCTTAGATATGTCAGAACATACAGGCCACCTTTAGCGGTGAGGCCCTGCTGATCAGGAGACTCAGGCTTCCTTACCTGCTCAAGTACATTGAAGAAGACCAAATGGGAAGGTAGTTGCGTAGCATTAGGAAACTCTTTGTTGAGCCACTGGAGGGGGTGAGAGTAAAATAAGTCAGCTTCATCCAGATAGTTGCTTTTTCCCATCAAATCTGGAGGGCACTGAAGAAATCTTATTTGCAGTGGACAGTGAATATGGCTAGGAGCAAAAAGAAAAAAACTCACAGCGGTTGAGAAGGGGAGCTGGCTCCTCTGCCGTGCCTGCTTTTGTTTGTGTTAAAAAAACATCAAAAGGGTTGGGGACAGAGATGAGACATGCATGTCCATGTCCAAAGGGACTATGTCTGCAAGGCAACAGATTCACCTGCCTTGAAATAAAAATGCAAGGCAGACTGCCTCCTGAACATGGTCCTATCTCTCAGCCTTTGGGAAATGCCATTTCGGTATAGGGAGAGACAGGTTCTCTGGTAGACATGAACCTTGGCCCTTACCTGTATAAAGGAGTTGAATGACAGGGCATTAGCAGGAGAATGGATGTCTGTTCTCGGGCCAAAGGGTTGCAGAGCTCCCGGAGGTAGACCATCACATCAAGAGTGCCACGCTGATGGACCAAACCAGTGTAGAGGGCAAGAAGCAGGCTGGAGCTCAGCAAGAAAGAAACGGCAGCCCTTCTCCACCTTCTCTTCAGTTGAGCCAGAGAATGCCCTACGGAAATGAGCTAGTCAGGAGGGCCAGAGTGTAGACATCATCCAAAGCACTGCTCAAGAGAATTTGCTAAACGGTGCTGGACCAGGAGAAAGACAGCATTGGTGTGGTCATTTCTTAGATGGCAAGTAATTGCCTGAAAGAATAAGGGCCACACACAATGCAAACCCTTGAGGTTGTTGTCGCTTCAAGATGTGAATTACTTGAATGAATAAGGCAACCTGTTCAACTACCAAAATATCAAGAAAATATGATAGAAAACATCTGAAGTAGGGGGAAGCGGCTTTCGCTTCTGGGCAGATGGCTACCGCTGCCACAATGTATGGGATGGGCACCTGCCATTTTTACAGAACATCTTACCAGGACTGGCATTGTACAACAGCTGACTACTCTTTGGAAAAGGAGAGTGGGAGCCCCCAAAAGACTATGATATCCGTCAAGTCAAAGTGCTTACCACAGAAGAGCATACAGATGGGTAGGATGGAATAGATAAATCGGAATTCTTTGTGACGAAGAACGCTGTAAGAAATGGACAGGGAAGGCCATCATGGACACGCCTTTCCCATCCCCCCCCCAAACTTTTACCTGAGTAATTAAGTCCAAGGCGTCTCTTCTTCAGAAAACCTGGAAGGCTCCATCCTGCCCAGAGGCTCCCCTTTGCTTGGCTGATTAAGCTACCTTCAGCAAGGCTGGATAGGGCAGGGCAGTAAAGCCTTAATCCCAAGCGGCAACAAGAGCAAGGGCATGAAACGAGCCTTAATCTCAGAACAGGAACATGGGGTACCTGTAGGCTGTCATGGTCCAAAGCACAACAACCAAGAACACACGATGCTTCCTCGGGGCACTGAAACAGCCATGGAGGAAAAAAGGCAGGTGAGGACCAAGGATCGCCGGCAAGCCCTGGGTGAAATACCAGTGCCAGGAGTGGGATCCGTAGAACGTGGCCAGCTCATGCAGAACGTTGAATTTCAGAAAGTTGAGGGGAACTACAACCCACTGCAGGAACGAGAAAAGGAACAGTCAGGTTGCCCCATAAGAGGAATGCCTGCAAATTTTCCCTGCACCCCTTGGGAGAACATTCGGGAGCCACATCAACTCAGGTCTCCCTTTTCCAGAGCGAAAAAAGTAAGGGTCAGGTCTGATTAGAGCTCGCATGGGAGATGGCCAGCTTGGCAGAGCTCTAAGCTTGGTTGGGAAGTTGGACAAAGGCAAAGAAGTGCTAACAATCAAGCTCAACATAAGGATATGTTGCACAGTCTCAAGCCTGGACTAGAAGACAATTTGCTTTGTCTGGCAAGGACTGGCAACACTCTGATGCAACCACTTTATCCAACACCTACACCACCACCACCTGCACACAGTTACACCACTGGAAAACGGAGCTAGGAATCATATGAAGGGGAGGCCCTGCAACCTCCACCCTGCATTTGTCTAATCCTCAAAACATGACCTGGGCTCAGTCTTTCACCAATTTCTCCTGTAAGCCCAGCGCCTTCCCCATTTGAAAATGGGTACAGATAAAAGGGGAGAGACAATGGGACAGGCACAGGAAAGTAAGACGAGACTGGTGGCCCAGTGCCCATCTTATAGGCTGTAAAAAGAGTAGAGCTCAGAGAAAGGCAGTGAGGGGGTTCAAGACTCAGCAGCAATCCTTGGAGGCATCTGATGACACCAGCTTACCTTGCCAAAAAATATCCTGTCAACTACTAACGAACCTCCCAAAGCAATTAGTCTGTTAAAAAAGAAAAGCAAGAGTTCCATGGCAAAACAACAGGTTCTCTCCTGCCCAGGATCTTCCCCCTGAGGCCCTAGATGGCCCATGCATTATTTCCCGCACCCGCACCCGTCCACAGCCAACTTCTTTGCTCTGCTCTTTCCCATCCACCATTTCAAGCACAGCAGTTCCTGGAGTTCAACAATGCTTCCTTTCATTTCTGTGTTGTTGAGCACTGTTTAAAAGGCAAGATGTTCACTGTGGTGATTTTAACAAAATACAGTAAAGACCTACTTACCCCACTGGAAGGCAAGCACCCCAGAGGAGGCGCTTCTTGTTGGACTCCTTTTCAAAGTGCCAAAGCAGCAGCGGAGCCCATGGAATGGAAGCTGTTGGGCGAACGATGCACGCTAGCGCAACCAGGGCTAGGTAGTAGCGGCTGGAAAAGTGGCAGATGGGAAACTTCAGAACAGCTACAGGAAAGACACCAAGATGGGCTCCCAGCCATAATAAAGCCCTAGCGTTTACTCAAATGTACGGGTACATGGAGTTACAGCATTCATGCATTTTACAAAAGGGAGGAGGAAAGCAGGGTCCTTGAACTCAAGGCTGAAAAAAACTTAGGGAAAATCAGAAATTTTCTGAAGAAAACATGTTGGGAAACCAGCCAAGCACAAGAAAACTTTGCCTGAGAATAACAATCACCTTTAAATTTAAAGGTTTACTAAAGTTTCAGCTTATCTATTTGTCTGACATCCCCTTCCCATCCCATGGTACAAAGTCTTTCACCTGCTCTCCATTTTGGTGCCTTCCATGGGATAGTAGCAAAGAGCAAAGATGGTGAGAACCGCTTCCATAGTGTTGGTGAGGGTCCTGGTACAGCAGTACCATGTAAACCAAGAACACAACTGGCAAAAGTACTGGGAACAAAGCCGAAGAAGAGTAGGTGTGTGATGGAGGGGCCCAGCCACAGCAAATTCTTTTGCCTTGAAGTCTGCCAGGAGAGATCTCACACCACTGGGTGGCTGGCAGACTGAGGGGAGAAACCGAGACTCACCACCCATTTGGCCGTCTCAAAGTGATCCAGCCGCTTTGCCAAGGAATATAACTTCACATCTGCAAATGCTGCCAGAACTGCCTGGAAAACCCTAGGAAGCCAAATCTGTTAGAAAATGAGACACAAGAGCGTGGAGATAATTTTTGTTTCTTTCCAAAGAGAAATCTGATCTTTCACTAAAATGCAAGTGAACATTGAAACAGAAAGCCTCCAAAACCACATTTAAACCAGGAAAATCAAAACCAGCAAAGATTTTATTGACATAGACATTTTCAGTATCACCATTTGGGATTTTTCAGACTGGCCATGCGCTTTTAAGTCAAACACTTCTGCTAGACTAGTTTGAACTCAACTGTTCTCTGCTAAAGGCCTTACATCTAAGGATGCTAAAAAGCTGCTGCCCACCCACCAAGCATGGGTGTGACATTCTAATGCTTCCCTCAGACAGCTTTTGAAATGGTGGGCAGCTTCCCAGGGGGCCTGACCTAATTGGGCTCTTCGGGGTGAGTATCATGATGGGGAACCCTGAGAAGCAAACGCCCAAAGAGCAAGAATTTGGCAGCCCAATGGCTGACTTTGGACCGTGCCTGGGGAATGGGCTTTTAAGGTAGAAATGGGGGGGGGGACGCCATTTCCTTTTGTCCCTGGAGATTCTCGGTCATCCAGATCAGAGTTGTTTCATATGTGCTTTTTCAAAAGGCAACTGGACCTCCTCCTCTCAAGCTTTGGCAGCCCACCAGCTGCTCCCGGGGGGAGGGGGAGAGAAGAAGGCAGGGGGCCAGCCCACCCCCTCACCCACCCGGCGCGGCCCCTCACCAATAGCGGCGCCTCGTCCTTGCCCAGCAGCTGCAGCGCCTTGAAGAGGCCGGCGAAGAGCAGCGGGTAGAGAGGGCTGCGCAGGCCCTCGGCCCACTCCCAGGTCAGGCTCCCGTATCTGGCGCGCCGTTAAGGACTCCACCGGAGGGACGGGCAGAAGGGCCCTCCCGCCGCCCACCCCCGCCGTCCCAGGATACCCGAAGGCCGCCCGGTGCGCCACCTCCAGCGACTGCCAGTACTCGTCCGGGACGAAGCTGGTCCGCACCGAGAAGCAGCAGGCCAGCCGCACCGCCAGGCTCAGCGCGAGGAGCCCCCGGGCGGGCGCGGCACCGGCCGCCCGCTGCTCCGCCCGCCCCTCCCGCTGCCCCGACTTCCGCCTGCGAGGCCTCCCGGCAGAGGTTCCCACACCCGGCTCCATAGCGACCACCATCGACGGGAGGGCGCAGGCGCGGAAGACGGGTCCGCGCGCCTGCGCCGATTCCGCGCGCCTGCGCAGCAACAGGAAGGCAACAGTCGCAGCCATGCGTGGGTCGGAGCCGCTGGTGCGCCTAGTGGTGGTGTTCGTGCTGGGCGTAGGCGGCGGCATCTACAGCGCCGAGCCGCTCCGGAAGGAGGCCGCCCGCCTGCGCGCCCTCTCCGACTGCGAACCGCCGCCGCCGCCCGGAAAAGCCCCCACGCGGCCTGCCTAGGGGCGCCCCGCCGAAGCTGCAAGAGCAGCCCGCTCCCGGGGGAGAAGCGAGGCCACGCCCCCTCGCCGGGCCCTTGGGACTTGTAGTCCGGCGCTTCCGGGCGGAACGCAAGCTCTCCCTTGGGCGGGCCTAGGTCTGCCCCGCCTCCTTCCTGGCAAGGTGGCCTTTGGGTGGATGCCGCGATCTCATCCTGTAAGCCGAACGGAGCCGGGCGCGTATCGTTAAGTGCCAGGACGCTCAGGAGGCGCTTGTGAGATATGCGGAGGCGCCTTTTCTCTTCTTGGACGAGGACGCGTAATAAATTGCTGGAAAATGGAAATGTTGGGCGCGACTTTCGCTTTCGGGGGAAAACCCGTTTTCCTTGTCTATGACTAACTACATAACGGGAGCAGAAATTACAGAATTTTATGTTCATAGTCGAGTGTCATTTATTTTGTTATCCCGCATTTATTACCTGATAAGGAAATTATTCTTTTAAATCACATGAAATCGCCCACGGGTAACTAATCCTGCTATCTGTCAGTAGCCCTAAAGATGCAGCCCGCAGGGAAGATTTAACACCTGCCCAGCCACACCTGGAGGCAGCCACAGCGGAGATGCTCTTGTGCAATCTGTGCGCCTTGCACAGGGGTCCAAGCTGTAATCTCTGGCCTTTGCAGGAGAAAAGCTGGATCCAGGGCTTATGGCTCTCTTCTCTTTTTCTCTCTTCTCTTTGCAGTCCTGGATCTGGAATGGGCTGAAGTAGGGAACAACCAACTGGGGCAAAGCACACAAAAGGGCCGAGGTTTGGTTGCCAGCCAGCCAGCCCGCCCTCCAAAAGACTCCTACCAAACCCGTAGTCAGCAACTGCAGGCCCCTACAAAATATTCCCCTCTGAATGGAGCAAAAGGGGCTTCTGCTTCTAGAAAGACGATTGTTCCAGTTGTGATTGGACACAGCGATGTCGCTGCTTCCTGTTGCATCCATTTGGTTCCTGACTTAAGTTTCGTTTCTCCTGAAAAGCTTACCTGCCTGCCTTAGGTTTCGTTTCCTGACTTAAGTTTCATTTCTCCTGAAAAGCTTACCTTGAATTAGTACCTCCTTGACTTAAGTTTCCTGTTCTTTGTGTATGGCAATGAAGAGCCATCCCCCTATTGTCCTTTTGTACACCC